AACATGGTGTGTATTATGGCATCCAAAGAGTTTAATTTTGGTCTCATCGGACCAGACTATATTCTCCCAGTATTTCACAGGCTTGTCTAAATGTTGTGCAGCAAACTTTAAACGAGCTTCAACATGCTGTTTCTTCAGCAATAGAGCCTTGCGTGGTGAGCGTGCATACAGGCCAGTGTGAGTGCATCACTTACTTATTGTACTTATTATTTTCTTTGAAACAATTGTACCTGCTAATTCCAGGTCTTTCTGAAGTTCTCCACAAGTGATCCTTGGATCCTTGGACAACTCTTCTGTTAATTCTTTTCACTCCTCTGTCAGAAATCTTGTGAGGAGCACCTGGTCGTGGCCGGTTTATGGTGAAATTATGTTCTTTCCACTTCCGGATTATGGCCCCAACAGTGCTCACTGGAACATTCAGAAGTATAGAAATCTTTCTTTAACCAATGTCATCAGTATGTTTTGCAACAATAAGGTTTGCGAAGGTCTTGAGAAAGCTCTTTGCTGTTACCCATCATGAAATGTTTCTTGTGTGACACGTTGGTCATGAGACACTTTTTATAGGCCATCAGTTGGGACTGAACCAACTAATATTAATTTCCACTGACAAGGGGCAGGATTGCTTTCTAATTACTGATAGATTTCACCTGGTGTCTTGGCTTTCCATGCCTTTTTGCACCACGCTTTCTTCATGTGTTCAATACTTTTTCCCTGTGTCAATCTACTTCATTACACAGAACTTAATTTCTGAATTTATTTGTTTTGCTTTCTTTGTATGTATGAATTACTTGGATTGTTACCGACATCTGGTGAAAATGTCATATCAACAGCACCTTTAGAAATATATTTACTGAGAAAAATGGTGATGTGCTCAATACTTATTTTACCCGCTGTATATACTGTGGCATGATCGTGAACTTAAAGAGGACAGGATGCTCTTCACCCTGGAACTCTTTGGAAAGGACAACCCCAAGATCATAATCTGATCTGTCCATCTATAATATGAAGGACAACGTGAAGTTGGGTGCGGGGAGTACACACTCAGCGATCAATGCTTTCTTGAGGGATTTAAATGCCTTCTCTGCTGCCAGTGACCACTGCACTTTCTCGATCTGTGTTTTCCGGGTCAGGGCTGTGAATGGACAGGCTAGAGAGGAGAGGTTAGGGATAAAGCATCGATAATATCTTGCCAACCCCAGAAAGGCACGTACCTGGCTCATAGTCACGGGGCGAGGGTAGTTACTGCCACAATCTTTCAGTCTTACTGAGGTTTGAAGAGGCCACGACCAATCCAATATCCAAGGTACCGTGCTTCACCAGATGGGACTTCCTGGAGTTGTCTGTGAGTCCAGCCCTCCTGAGTTCCGACAGGACCTTCCGGAGTCGGATGAGTAATTCTCTATTACTATGATAATTAGAACATAGATAACATTATTAGCACTGCATAATAACATAGTGGGTGAATTAGATCATAATTCTAATTCTTTAGTGTTTGCTCAGCAGAAATATAGCGCTTATATTACCAATATAGCCAATTTGACGGATTGTTTAAAAGTAGGTGGAAAAAACTTTAGCTCGCTAATTCTGTGACATAATTTTCATTAGGGAAACCATTATAAGCAAAAATGCTGTGTAATTGTCATTTTGTCTGTCATGCTGATGTGTCCTTGAATCCTCAATGAGTCACAGTACACTGTATCTTGTCATGTCTGATGTAATGATTAACTGTAAACATTATCAGTGGCCAGAAGATCATAATGTGAAAAAATAGACCTTATGAAAATACCTCTCTCATCTTGAAGAATTTGGAAGTTGTTTTTTTGGACATAAACATTGCATGTATATTTTTGTTATATTCTTACCCTTGTTTGGTATTAATCTCTTCTCATATGAGCATAGAATGTTTCATAGTGATGTTCTCTTTCTATAATATAATTGACAATAATCTAATCTATAAAATAAGAATTTACAGACAATTATTTCTCTCTCTCGGGGTTACAGGATTAGTTTTGAGTTGACCAAACCAGTCCAATCCGGCTTTGTTGGTACCATGAAGCTCATCATCAACTTTCTCTGTCAACTCAGGCTTTGATCCTGAGTTAATGGAGCACGTGCACATGAAAGAGTGACATCAGTAATGAACAGCCAATCAGATGCCTTGAAACTGTGATTCACTTCTTGAGAGAGAGTCAGTGCGATTCACTACCAAAGATTAAAATATTGAACAATATGAAGAATTTAAACATTTACAAGATGAAACGATCTATCCATGAAAGAGGAAAACTTAAAGAAAACATCTTGACTTATAAATGCAAGTAAAAGTTGTAAAGTTAGTTCATAGAGTTGATCATATTTATAGGTATAAAAACAATTAAAAATCTAAGCTCATATGTGTAACAGAGATGCTGGAGTTTGGTTAGAATCCATGAGCGGAAGTTTATTAAAGGTCAAGGCTTTAAACAGATGTCGATAATCAGGCAGAGGGTCAAAGTCAGAGAAGCAAGCAGATCGTTCGTCATACACAAGGGCAGAAGCAGAGACAATAGTGGAGAGGCAGGCAATGAGTCCAAACACAAACATCAGTCCTATCAGGCGTCAGAACAAAAGGGGCAGAGTACAAATACCGTGAGTCAAGAAGTCAGGCAGAATCATACACAGGAAATCAATCAGGAACAGAGGAAGAATAACGCTTGGTAAGGCAGATAAACTGGCAATACTTTGCGATCAGCACATGGACTGGTCTCAGTTTATATGAGAGTCAAACAGGAAGTGAAAGCAGAGGAAGCAGAGGGAGTGGAGCACGGTCAGTACTCGGGCGAGGGCTCCCTCTGCTGGCTTGGCGTTACAATATGTAGTCATGTTTAAAGCTATTGATTCTAAAACGTATTTATATTGCATGTTATCTATATGTTTATATTAATTTAAAATAAAAGTTTAATAATTATTATTAAACTAAGCCAGCTTGTTTAATGGATTAAGGGTACAATAATTATATAAATCATATAAAATAATTATAAAAAATAATCATCTCTAAATTCAGACAATTTTATCTTTAAAAATGTTTTACTATGTAGCGTCCTTTAATTTGGAGTAAGATAAACTGGGGGAGTGGCTTAATTGCATCAGACATGTGTCACTTTGCTTTAAGCAGATTGGTCAAATTTCACTTTGAGATCTCTAAACCAGAACATAACCTGCCCCAGAGCAGGTTAGCTGTGGAGTGTAAGTTACTAAGGCAATGAATGCCGCTAAAAGCCAAGCCACTTTCACGGTACCTAAAACCCAGGATTGGTGCAAACTAAACTGAAACTTACCTGGCTAGCCAGCTAATCTGGCTTCATGGTACAGGCCCCAGGGCTCATGTTGTTAACTTGTTGCGACGTTTGTGGAATCCTGAACAGCTATATATGGATATACTGCAGATATGAAATACTTTGAAGAAGCACAAAAGATGGATAGTCTATTCTTAAACAATGACAAGCATAATACACATTTTACCCAAACATAACACTAACCACAGGCAGCTGTCCTGTGTTTATCTTTCTTTAAAGATGTTATGTGAAAGACAGGAAATGGCAGGAAACCCTACGCCCCTAACCCCACAGAAGCAGAAAGAGGGAAATGTGTCTCTCCCGCTGTGTGTCCCTCCTACCCCTCCTCACATGTACATGACCATGGGGAATCTAGACTTTAGACTGGTGAGTAATGAAAACAACCGTTCTTTTTGAAAAAGTGGGGAAAGGTTAAACTAATTTTTATACATTTATTCAGACAGGACGCTCTGAGACAACATTGTCACTTAGAGGAGCTCGAGGGAGCCGATGTGGATGACGTCTCCTAGAGGATTATTTAAAAGAAGACCAAAGTTAAGGGTATTAGAAAAATATAGATCAAGGTTTATGTGACATCCATCAGAATTATAACTTTACAGCTTAGAGAATCAATATAAGTTTATATCTGAGAGAGTCAGCTGGTGTTCGTGTGCTGTGAAAGAAAAGCATCATCTGTTTTTGCTGCTGGTCAGTTGTGATGGAAGAAACATGTCTGCTGCACTAGAGGAATACTGTGGCTCCATTTTCTGGGTAAGTTCCGTCATTAATAAAACATAAAACATTCTTCTGTTTTATGGAGTTTCTAATTTTCATGTTTCTACGTTCTGAATGATAATACAGTGCGATTTCACTATTTACCATAGTACTAAAGGGATATTGTAGGATTCATATTCACAAAAAGTGACACCAAATGATATTTTAACCTGCTCAGAGATAAATGATGTTGCTGGGACAAGTGAAGATGTGGCCATGCTTTATGTTCTAAAGGGTTTAGAGTTTAAATCTTTCAGTTTATAATCATTTTGTAAAAGAAATTGCTAATGCCCATTACAATTGGTTCTGAGCAGTATCAAAATATGGATTTGTTGTAAAATATTTTAAGAAATTGTAAATACATTAAGGCTTATGTGAATAATTGTAGATTAATGGTGTTTTAATGAATGTGGTTTTATTAAACAACATATTTATATTTAAGATGTGCATTTATATTTAAGAAGTTAATTTTATTACTGGAAGTGGATTGAGCTTAAAAATATAGCTGTAACAAGAAAAACAGAAAGAAAAAAAAAACTGTGACGTAAACAAAGAATTCAATAATGCATCTGGTAATAGAAATTATGTGTGAATCTGACAAATGCCTAGAATTACGTTTTTAAACGAAAGAAAGAAAGAGAAAGAAAGAAAGAAAGAAAAAGAAAGAAAGAAAGAAAGAAAGTCAAAATGAAACTCCATTAGATTCAGGGCACAAAACAATTAAAAAATTTTAGCAAACATCATGGCAAATTTCAACTTAGTCAAACAGCTATGGAGTAGACATGCAATGCTCAAAGATGTTTAGCAAGCTTCTTTAATATTATACTTTACGATGAAAAGATAAAGGTCAAATGTGAGTGACACCTAAAATGGGATGATATCACAAATGACAAAAACACCAAGATGTAAACAACATTAAAACAAGATGTCCATTGGACTGAAAGGTCTGAACGGGCTAACGATCCTGCACCTACAGTTTGTAAAATAAATGACCTTAGTAGGTAACTTATGTAGAAGAAGAAAAAAAATCTAAGTTCACGGCATTGTATTTTGATAGTAATGAAATGACTTAAGTCATACACTGTTTTGCATGTGTAACTAGTATAATCTATGTAATCATTAACAGTCACAGTGAGACTGCAGATGAACTCCTGCCAATCTGTCCTTCCACTGACGTCATGCCATTCACCCAGTCTTCCTCACTCGTGTGTGTGTGTGTGTGTGTGTGTGTGTGTCAGAATGCCTCGTACCTGCAGCGTCCGGACCCGGATCTAACGATCTGCGTGGAGCGAACGGTGCTGGTGTGGCTGCCGTTAGCTTTCCTGTGGCTTTGTGCTCCATGGCACTTCACAACTCTCTGTAAGAAACCAGCCAAAGCTCCGCTCTCAACACTCTACATCTGCAAACAGGTGACGGTAATAATTCAACGACAGTCATTTTAAAATATTTCACCGGAGATAATGAACAACAAGTACTGAAGCCGTGTATACAACATATAACACAGTAAGTCATATTTAATAAAATGTTCAGATCAGAAACATTTAGCCTGCTTCAGTCAAATCTCAACGCTCGTAGTATCAGCTCACTCATCATTTCTGTGGACATCAGGAGACTGTTCTCAGTTCTGTGTGTTGCAGTAAGCTGTTTCACTCAGATATATGCCACAAAATTTGATCACAACCTCTGTTTCATGCTGACTTTAAAGGAGAGTTCACCCAAAAATTACAAATCAGTCCTCATTTATTCTTACCCTTGTCAAGCCACATTCTCCTCATGATGGTTAGAGTCCATTGTCACTGTATGGACAAAAACAGCTGAAACATTCTTCAAAATGTTAAAGCAATAAGCCCCGTGAAGCCGTGGTTTACAGTGAATTTATAACAGCTAAGGGGTGTTGTTACGACACGAAGCGGAGTGCCTAAAACCCCCTTATCTTTTATAAATTCACTGTAAACCACGGCTTCATGGGGCTTATTGCTTTTATAAAATGGTTATTCCATATACGTAGTAAGGTTTCACAAAATAAAACAGAGCAAATAAAGTGTAATGATATTAATAAAAACAGTATTCTTCCACCAAACAATGTAGTTCCTCAGAAACAGTTGTGGTTCCAACAAAGTAGTTGCCGAGCAACACACAAACGTAAACAAAGGTGTGTGTTTGTAGAGTAATTTACAACAGCTTTCAACGTGGCTCAGCCAATCAGAATCAAGGACCGGAACTATCCGATGTATAATATCTTTTTTATTCCATAGAAAATAGAAATACATAAAGATTTAGAATGACGAAGAGGAGTCAGTCATGAGATTTTAGAAATTGGGTCAAATATTCCTTTAGGTTTGGTTATTGGTTTGGAGATCTGATTTTTACAAAATGGGTTGTTCACCTTCATGTAGCAGTGCAAGTCATATTTTTGACTAGGCTATGTAAATAATAATTTGTGATTATACAGTTGCTTCTCTCTTTTAAAGTAGCTAATGATTTTCAGATTTTAAAGATTTTTGTAATTTAATCGAAACCCAAAAAATAAAGTTGGTAACAATTTACTTAAAGCCTGTATGTATCATGCATTATAACTATTCATAGTGTGTGTTGTAATACATTATATCTTGTCATAATAATTATAACTGAATTTAAAATGCATAGTGTAACAATGAATTGGTAAGTGTTACAATGTGGTTACAATTATTCATGAGATTGTACAATGCATTACAAGGCATAATTAACACATTTTAACTACTTTTATAATGCGTTATATATAAAGGCTTTAGTAGTGTGACCCAATGTTTTGCAACTTTTTGTATGATTAATTGGCGCTCTCACATCCTATCATTGCTGTTGTCGTGCAAAAGGTTGTGGCTGGCCTGCTGCTCCTGACAGCAATAGCGGAGCTGGTGCTCACTCTCGCTGAGGATTATGGGCCGTCGAGTGATTCCACAGCTCAGAAACATCCAGCGGGGCTCTACACCAATCCGGTTCTGTTCGCCGTCTCATGGGTAACCTTTAGAAGCATTTATTTAATAAACCGTGTAACTTACATGGAGTTAAGATCACTCAGTAAATAACTGAAGATGTTGATGTGTTGAGCGGTTGATGTTTGTGTAGGTAGTTGTGATGCTGTGCCAGGAGTGTGTGCGGCGCAGACCGAGATCTGTGGACTCCGGGAGTCTCTTCATGTTCTGGCTGCTTCAGGTGTTGTGTGCCGTCTTCCAGTTCCAGACTTTACTGAGAGATGCACTGAACAAGGTACTGACAGCAGCACTCACAGCTCCACATCTGCCTGTGCTGCGGATTATTGCTTGCATATGCTGTATTGGACAAAATGATCAATATGATTAAACTTTGTTGGTGAACTTGCGGCACACGATCTACTCCACGCCTTCTTCATCTGATTGATAGTTTAGAGCTTTTTATCAAGTCTTGTAGTGTTATTGTACAAATGTCCTCCTTCAGCTCGTGCTTCTCGTGTCTTTTTGCTGTCGAAAGTAAGCGTCAGAATAACTGCAGTCATATTTCCAGATGAACACTTACTGGACTGAAGCAGCTCAGCTTTACTCGATTCTCCAT